CAATGAGACAGTGGTGTTCGATTTCTGTTTTGGGTAAAATTGTGTTTCTAGATGATTTTACCCTTGGAAGTTCAAGTTTTGAGCGTTGAAGTGGTTTTTGGAGGTTTTATGGCAAATAATGGTGGTTATGAAGTGGTAAATTCGCATCTTTCCTAAATTGAGGACCCTCAAATCTGGTCTACTCTGGTAAATTGACTTATCCCGTTTATATTCTCGCATTAGCGAGCCATCATGTGGGGTGACATTAGGATTGTGGTTATTGTGTAGGTTAACCATTGCTTGCGCTAAAATTTAGGAATTATTTGCTCTATTTGAAGTGTTGGATTTACAAGTTGGTAATTGCTTTTGTGTTTAATTGTCATTAAGTCGACTCCATTATGTTAGAAACTGAATTGTTTTGTTGACATACCTTCGTGTTGCATTGACTATTACGTTAGAACAACTGGACTTATCCCGTTTGACCATTATCTTGATATTGATATTGAGATCTCGAATCTCACGAAATTTTGAGAATTTAGAACGGTGCATAATGTGATCTTAGGATTACTTTGTGTAACCTAATTGCGCATTTTTTTTTTTCAATAATGACTTCAAATTTTGAAATGAGAATTTTCAATAGAAAATGAGATTTTTCAATTTGGCAACAAAAGATGAAGAATATTTTGGTTCAACAAAAAGTTTTAAAAGTCATAGATGACAACTTTCCTACTGATTTGACAAAAGTACAAAAGAAGAATATGATGAACTTGCTTACTCTTCAATTATTTTAGACCTATTTGATGTTGTTTTGAGAAAATTAGAAAACTTGATTCCACAAAAGAATTTTGGAAAAAGGTGAAAGACTTATATTTGCTTAAATCTACTTCTAATAAGTAGTATTTTCTTGAAAGATTTTTCATTTTTAAAATGGATCCTTCGAAGATCTTGATGGCTATTTGAATGTTTTTAACAAACTCGTTCAAAACATTGTTAATTGTGATGAAAATGTGTGTGAAACCTATAATTACATTATTTTGCCCAATTCTATGCATGATTCATATGTGGAGGTTAAGAATGCAATTATGTATGATAGGAACACTTTAATACCCGAGATTGTCATAAATTCCCTTAGGAGTAAGGACATAGAAATTAAAGCTGAAATAGTAAATAGGATGAGTGATGAGGTACAATGATGAAAAGTAGAATGAAGTTTAAGTAAATGAGTCTGTTCAAGACAATAGTGATACGAGTAGTGATTCGAGTGAAGAAGGTGACAAGAAGAAGATTGGGACAAATCTGATGGTAAACGATGTTACAGTTGTGGTAAGATTTGACACTTATATAAAGTATCGTCCTAAGAAAAAGGATAAGCAGAAGGGTAAAGGTGAGAGGTGAGGCAAATGTTATTATTGGGTCTAGTGATGACCCTAGTGAGGTTTATTGAGAGTAAACATAGTTACTGCGTGTAATCCTTTCTGCATGTATGTGATTACTTAATTATGTTACATAGTCATAGAGGATTATATCATGAACTTATGATCGATAATGATTTACCAGTTAAATATGTTTTCATGACAGTGTAGTGAGCATAATGGGAAATGAGAGAAGATGTGTGTTCTCAAGGTACGGCTACATGGAATTGGATATGATAAGTGTGGTGATATCTTTTCATGGGGCTACTTGTGCATTTATTGCATATATGTTGGCCATTTGATTGATTAACTTGGTGTTGGTCTCGTTCTTTATGAACATGTTTGAAAATATTTGTGTTATCATATGTTGTATCTTCATCACATATTTATTTGTTCTTGATTGATTACTATAATTGCTTGCTTCTACTTGGTGTTTCTTGACCCTTAACCCTGGTAAGTATATGGAGCGGGTGTGATACGTATTTTGGGTCCAAAACACGAGGTAAGGTCTATGATTTCAATTTTATTTAGTTGTCTTGATTATGCAAGTATAAATTTTGTATTTTGGTTGTTGCAGGTTAATTGGGTATCAAAGTGGAGATTTGTTAGGTTTTGATACCCAATAAATCTCGGGCGATGATATTAAACTGACGAATTAAATCTCACAGGCCTCGATTGATAAATGAATTAATTATCAAAAACCAAGTCTAAAGGCTGGATCTGAAAACAACGTAGATCGTTAGTAATTTAAGGAATTAATGTTACTCACGGTCCATATATTTACCTATTTGATGACTCTTATAATCTTGGCCCAATTCCCATATGCCTTAGCCCAATCGATTATATAGCCTATACTATATATGACCTCATTTTCATTGATAGGAACCATGTGTGATTTGTGCAAATGAGAGAAACCGTGTACTTTGTGCTTTGGAAGAAAAATTGTGACTACCTTGTTACTTCTCCATCCTTGTGCCTGCCTTCTTCCATTGGTTTTGTCCTTGCCTTTATGGTTGAAAATCAACACCATTTATTTTCTTCTTTGTGCGTTAGATTGAGAAGTAACCAATGTGACTAAATTGATTGTGGGGTGAGATGCTTGGATTGGTTGTTGGTAAAGAAAGATAACGTGAAACTGAGCCCCAAAATCACCAATTAAAAAAATTTGAAACGAGCTTCTGCAACATATCTACCGAAGAGTTTAATATTGCTTTATCCTTGCTACGACTTATCATGCTCCTAGGGACGGATTTAAGGGGGATTGAACGCCCCCAGCCCGTTATTTTTTTGTAGTGTAAATATTTTTTGGGAAGAGTTCAAAAGTAAGGGATTAACTATATACAATTCAAAAATCATATTTTAAGTTTGACTAATGCAAAAATCAGGTTTCAGTTAATTAATTAAAAATATTTATTAATCAAATATAATAAGATCACAGTTATATAATTAATGGTAACATATACGTAATTATAGGTCACATTCACACATTTTAAAATTAATCGATCATAGATTATTTCAAGGTCACGGATCAAAAATTTTGTACATCACAGATTATTTCGAGGTCACAGATTTTTAAATTAATTGGTCACAGATTATTTTTAAGTCACATATTATTAAATTTTTATGTCACAATTGAGTAATTGGTCACAAATTACCAAACATTTGGTTACGACTACCGCCACTACCACTATGGCCACTTTCGACCACCCTCACCACGCCGCCACCGCCACAACAGCACCAACAAACCCGCCAACAAATCAGATCACACTACCACCACCACCACCTCACGAGCGCCGTCAACCTCAACACCACCACTGCCACTGCCAAGAACTGCAAATACAACCAACAAAAACCATCCCCAAAATGATTTATAATGAACTGGTATTGCTTGAACCAGGCATATTGGAGGGAAGAAACACCACATCCATGTCGTAGCGTGCAGAGTAGGGCGCACAAAGTCGTCGCAGCGACGACGATTGGAGCGCGGAGTCTCGCGCAGCGCCGCTACTACAGTGGCCTTGAACAATCAGACGTGCTAGTATTCTTCTCCGGCACATTGTAGTTCCTAAAGTTCTTAAAACCATTGGCGTCGGTGGAACTGTCACCTACTGAGTCACTACTTCCAGCTGAAGCGAGACGGTGGAGAGAGGGGGAAATGATGAAAAAGAAAGGGGAGATAGATCTAGGGCTTGGCCTTCCTCGCGCCGGCGCCGTAAACAGATCTACGACTTGGCCTTCCTCGCGCCCGCCTCGTCGCCATCCTCGCCGTGAGTCAGCCGGCGATCATGAGAGAGGTGAGAGAGAAACTGAGATAAGAGAGTGAGAGAAGAATTGAAATTATTAGGGTTTGTAATTAAATTGGGTGGATAATGTTTAATTTATAGATATCTGATTTTTGAATAATAAAACTTGGTCCCTGATTTTTGAATTCTAATCTTCAAACACCTGGAATTATGTAATTTCCACATTTTTTTTCCTTGTAATTTTATGTGTAAATTTTCTTTATATACGTATTAGCCCAATCTGTAATTCGATCATGAATCCGTCTCTGCATGCTCATTTTAATATATGTCCCTTTTCTCTTATAAGACGATGATATTGTGTAAATGAAGTAAGTTGCGACCAAAACGTAATTGATCCTTCGCGTCTTGTGAGTATAGTAAAACAATGAAATTCTATGTCCTGTCTATTTTGAAGTTTGTGAACCATCATAATTCTCCACAAAATTTATTATAAGATTGAGGTTGCTGGAATTGGGGAAAACTGAACTCAGTCGAATGAATGTCTATTTTAATTTACAGGGTTAATTCATTTGTACATAATGATTTATACATAATGGATTATCCCCTCTCACATAATGCATGGGACCCGCGTGTATTTAAAAATTCCAATAATGTGGTCCCTATCCCCATTATGAGTAATAGATAAACGATTCAGTAAAAAAATTCGGTACATGTAGCATGATTCTAATTTACAATACCAAATTAACTTGTAACAAACCATCAACACACTTAACATTCTGCATTTTCGGTCAAACCAAATTATTATTTTAATTAATAACTATTTACAATAAAATACGCGGCGTTAATTGGGTTGTCATTCACAGAATTACAGCCAAGAAACCTACGTGTGAGCTTCAAACTTCATATTTTCACAATAATTTAATAGCAACAAATTGACGAATAAATTAATCCCACTACCCTTCCATTTCTAATATTACAAGACATGATTATCAATGAATTAAATATTAAAATTGATAAATTTAAGCCCCATTGGACATGATTTCTGAAAATTCAAAAATTGCTTCTGAAATTGAGAAGCTAGTTTGCGGCTAAATAATTTTCTATATAAATGTTTCGTTTAATTAAAAAAGTAGCTCTTTCACAAAAAGTAAAAGCTATCGTAGGTACGTCTGTAGAACTACTGCCGATAGATTAAAGAGCGTCCCAACCTTATGATAATGTCTTATATATTAATGAAAGAAAATAGCAAAAGCGAATAAGGCAAAGTCACTCAACATATTACACAAGCAAAGGAGAAAGCAAAGGCCAAAGGGCGTCTCTCACAGAAGGCTCCTCTTTCACCTTTCCCAAAGAGCAGTCTAAAACAATGGAAGGGGATGGAGATGGGGAAGATTTGACCCCATTTTGGCTACAAAGAACCACCAGTCTCCGCCTCCGCCACCGTTTGTCTTCCATCTTTTTCAGCTCTGGACTTGTGGTGGTACTTTCGCTGGTAGCAGCTGTTTTCTTCTTGGTTTTTGTAGTTCCCTCCACTCTTTCTTTGAGTGCTCAGATCTTTAGACCAAACAATGTTAAGAAAAGCTGGGATTCTTTGAACTTAGTACTGGTCCTTGCTGCTGTTGTGTTTGGATTTCTTAGCAGAAACAACAATGGAGATAGATACTATGAATATCAAACTTCACCCATTAAACAAAATGAAACCCAGAAATCAAATCCATCAACCCCACATCAATGGTATAATTATTCTACAGATGAAGCCCAGAAATCAAATTCAACTACTGCAAATCAATGGTGTGATGATCAATATTTAGATAATGAAAATAAGCTCTACAAAAGTTCCACCATGAGGAGGACTAGTACTTCTTACCCAGATCTACGCGCATTTTCATCAAATTGGACATATGGAGATGATAGCCGACGATTCTACGAAGGTATACATGTCGATGCATATCGGGTTTCTAACACGAACCAGCTTCATCGCCGCGGCCGGAGCTTAGAAGAAATTGATCGAGAAAGAGAGCAGAATACCAAGAATAGTTATGTTGATACAATTACTGCAAGGCGTCCCAAGGAAGTTTCGAATGCACTGCCACGTCCAGCGATGCCGCCGCCAGCTCAAAAAACGGATATAGAAAAGCCAAAGAGAACGTATGAAAGTGTTGCGCTTAAAAAGGAAAGATCAAAAGTGGAGAGAAACTTGGAAAGATCAAAACCAAATACACCTCCTCCTCTTCCTCCGCCGCCGCCGGTGTTGCAGCCAAAGAGCGGCATAAGCGACAGAAAAAAAGGTGGTGCAACGGGCTTGAATTCGCTTTATCATAAGATGAAGAAAAGGCAAAGGCAAAAGAGTGCTGATAATCTGGATTCTCTTTTTCTTCAAACTCCTGAGCTACATTGCCAACTTCCACAACTATCGCCGCCGCCACCCCCGGCGCCTTCAGTCTTTCACAATATGTTCTCATCCAAGAAATCCAAAAGAAAGGGACATATAATAGTTACTTCACCAAATCCAGCACCAATCCCACCACCTCCACCTCCGCCGCCAAAGGCAGAACGCGAGCCAAAACTCAGTGCCCAAATTGTACCATTAACCCCCCACAAGCCTCCAGAACTCGTAAAGATGAACAGCTTCGAAAACGCTGATGAGAATTCGAACAGCGGAGGAGAATCTCCACAGATGACTATGCCGCCTCCGCCGCCGTTCTTCAACGCGCCGGCGTGGAAATTTGTCGTACAAGGTGACTACGTGGGGATAGACAGCAATGCCAGCTCCCGGAGTGGGTCACCGGAACCTGATGACGTGGATTCTGACATCACACCCTCATCCACACAAGGCGGCAATAAGTCGCCGTTTCACCTCTCGCCGGCTTTCTATCCAAGCCCAGACGTGAATTCGAAAGCTGAATCCTTTATTACCAATTTCCGGGCCAAATTGAAGCTCGAAAAAGTCCATTCAATGAACGATGGAAAACTAGGCTCGTCTAATCTAGGTCCAGGTCCTGGCCCAAGTTAGATCTTTCTCATCGCGTATATCAATTTGCAATATTGTATTGTGGTTGGTAGATTCTATGTGGTTTGGAATGTTACAGATTGGTTATACAAATACACTGATAAGGTTGTCGAACGTGAAAAATATAGGTAGTATCAAGATTTAAGGTCTTGGACATCACTTTTTTCTTGTAGCTTAAGCTTCACACCAGTGAAATTTCGAGAAAAACAAACGTAAATTCCAAATGATTTTAGCACAGAAAACGGGGATATTGGTGATTTAAACGCGCTTCACATCATATCACCAAGAAAACAAACTGAAATTCCTACAAGAGAACGCAATGGTCCAACAGGATAGAGTAAACTAAAACAGGGGACACAAGAAGACAATACTATACCAAGTGCAAGACTGCCCAACAAGAGTACCATTCACAGGTTAATTCTACATGTAACAAACACTCAAACAGGAAATGGCCTAACAGAAAAGACATGGAAGTTTTAACTAGAGTACAGATAATAAGATCCATATTCCACATCAAGCACGGGCTCTCTTGTTACTGCATGAAGGACACTTGTACTGCTTGATATGCTCGGCTCTAGCTGGTGTAATCTTCACACACTTGCCATGGAACCACTTCTCGCATACATCACAGCATATCCAGAATTCATCTGAGGCATAGTTATCCCCACAAGCACCACACAACGTCTCACCATGTTCCTCATCTTCTTCCTCCTCCAAGCTCTCATCTTCATCTTTTGGCTCTGACTTCGAAAATTTTCCCTGAGATTCAGATGCTCGCTGTTTCCACCAAAAAGTGCACAAGTGATGATATCACCAAGAAAGGAAAAAAACTAATGAAAGAGAGATAATAATACAAGTAGGACTAGAGGGCGTCTGATAGGGGTGAGTGTTGTTTTCATCTTATTCTGAACTGCAGTTAAAAAATTTAAGGATCAATGTGTTGAGCAGTTAATCAAATAAAAGAATCGAGTAGAACGAAAAAGCAGAGTATGCCAATTAGTTCCATTAACAGTCATTCATTTCAAATCGCAATCCTTAAGACCTAACAGAAATTAAATAATAATTAAGATCCATTAATCAAACATAAACTTTGAGTTGTCACCGTCGCGATTATGATGCCATGAACTCCAAATGTTCAACCATTACCAATCAAATAACTTTATCGTGCTCAAAACCGTACCGATTTAGAGTTTGACTTGGATTTGGTGCTACTATGATTTGAGACCGAAGATTTCTCTTTCTGCTGTTTCTTCGCAGCACCAGTCACAACTTCAAATACTGTGGGAAGATCATTGATCATGTTGAAAAGTCGCTTCCTGCAACACGAAATATCAGATATGATTCATTAGTCTAAGAAATGGAAAAAAATAAATTCATGAAAATTCAACGAAGTCAAAACACAGACGATTGAATCTCTGAGCAAAAGGGTCCAAGGGTTTAAATGATTAGAGCTACAGTGTTGTTTCTTCCTATATACGAAATCTTATAAAACAAAGACAACACTGGAAATGTACCTGTCGGCTTTATCGAATCCAAATCTAGCACCAAAATAAAAGGCTGTTGACAGCAACCAAGCATCACTGTGGACTGCAACTAGAGATAACCAGTCTTTTTCTTGCATACCATCTCTAGCAAAGTTGATACCAAGAGCAGGCTCAGGGAGTTCTGGAGGTACTTCTTCAGCAGGCAAATTAACCTCCCACAGCTCATTAGGAAGTCCATACAAGCACAAATTCTCCTTTTCTGTAGAACACAGCATGCAATTACTATTACTTGCTTTACTAAAGACAAATAACTAGCACGGGAAAGAAACATAACACATCAGTTTCGGCAAGCCAGCAAACAAAAAAGTATCAGATGACTCAAAAATCTGGAAACAAAATCTTGCATTAAATAATATAAATGTACCAAACTAAAGCTTTGGAATAAGCTATGATGTAAATGGCCTAACAGGAAAACTTACCCGACAGAGAGCTAAAGATGGATGTTATTACATAAGAAAAAAATCTAGAGTACAAACTATGATAGGAGATAGAAACAATGCACATAATACAACACTTGAAGACAAAAGAAAAATCTCACAAATTCTTAACAGACATTTTTTCTTGAACTTAAAATAACCTGTTAGAAAAAATCGACCCTCTTTCCATTTTTTTATTTCCAGGTATATTTTAATGATTTCCACAAGTGGAATAAAATGAACTTTGCAGCCTAGGGTGTCCTGAGGTGTTATTTCATACAGAAAAATTCACAAAGTGAGGGCCAACTATAGTCATTCTATCATTTCAAGGACAAATAAAGTCCAGGCATTCAAATAATATTAAATTTACTCATTTATATAATGAGAGATATGCAGAAGTACCACCCTTCACAGTACAAAAGTCAATTAAAAAAGCTAGGTAATAAGAGCACAAGATGCAATGACGGCCAGTATATCCGTAGCATGGTTCAGAATACCAGCCAGTGGTATACACCGAAAATTATCTTAGGATGTTATTGCAAGCATCAAGCAGCTGGCTTGAACAAAATCAAGCTATTAATGGTCACAAAAGAATGCGGATCTCAATGACCAGAATTCTGGTGCAGATAGTAAGAAAGTCTTGGGAGCGATCCCATACAACCTAACAACAGACGACGGAATAGGAAATGTTCTTCAGGAGATAGGAGGAATCAAGTAGCATTAGAAACAGAGCAAAGATACAATAAGCATGGTTGAAGCGTTTATGCCCTTGCAGAACAGTGTGTGTGGTTAAAATAGTTGCGTGTGATAATTTAACTAAAGTATTTATTTTAATAGATTTTATAGTATACTAAGCCCTTGTTTGATTTTGACTTTTTAGAAGTGATTTTGTTGGAGAACGTGTGGTTAAAAAGTAGGAAAAAGTTATGGGTCCACATGCAAAATTATTTCATTTGGAGAATAAGTGGATGAAAATGAGTTCGAGGAAAAGTGATTTTGAAAAAATTAATATAAAACAAAGGCTAAAATAAATCTATTTTACGAAAGAAAAAATTACGAGATATATAGAATATAATTAATGTTTAGTCAACTAAATATGTAGTTATATGAAAGCACTTTTATAGTTATGTCGCCAAACAATCAATTTAATATTAACATCACTTTTTAGATTAAGTCAACAACGTTTTAATAACAATGCTTTCGGAAAAAATCTCCCCAAGACTCATAGGTAAGCTGCATACAAGTGTCAAATGAATGGATATGCAAATTCCCTAAAAAGTATTTGCATAACAGATGATGTGTGTATTCTCAAGCAGCAACATAAAAACAAATTTAGATAATATGGGGCAGTCATAGCTAGAAAAACATGTAATACAAACTTTCTATCCAGCACAAAAGAAAGCTTGTTATTTCCAGCATATTTTATCTAATAGTACCACCTTTTACTGAAAATTCAAAGGCGGGTTATTTCATACCTCAATATATAAAATCACCTTAAATTCATCTCTAACACAAGGTTTTTCACACAAATGAAGAGGAATGTATAACTTATAATTCTCACTGAGTGAAACACAAAACTATCTACTTATATGCAGAGGTTGCGACAAAAGTGATTGAAACCTAATTGCAGACCATGCCAGCAAGACAAAATTTAAATATCCCACTTGGTTGCCACATGTCAATGCTCTTTAATGCAATATTAGTGAATGGTGTTCCAAGTGTTATAATCCACATTAACTACCTAAACATCTTGCTTTCTTGTACACTAAGCCCTTGTTTGGTGGGGTGAAAATTCAAATGCGAGTTATTTCATACCTCAATATATAAAATCACCTTAAATTCATCTCCAACACAAGATTTTTCACACGAATGAAGAGGAATGAATAACTTATAATTCTCACTGAGTGAAACACAAAACTATCTACTTAAATGCAGAGGTTACGACAGAAGTGATTGAAACCTAATTGCAGACTTAATTGCAGACCATGCCAGCAAGACAAAATTTAAATATCCCACTTGGTTGCCACATGTCAATGCTCTTTAATGCAATATTAGTGAATGGTGTTCCAAGTGTTATAATCCACATTAACTACCTAAACATCTTGCTTTCTTGTACACTAAGCCCTTGTTTGGTGGGGTGAAAATTCAAAAGCGAGTTATTTCATACCTCAATATATAAAATCACCTAAATTCATCTCCAACACAAGATTTTTCACACGAATGAAGAGGAATGAATAACTTATAATTCTCACTGAGTGAAACACAAAACTATCTACTTAGATGCAGAGGTTGCGACAAAAGTGATTGAAACCTAATTGCAGACTTAATTGCAGACCATGCCAGCAAGACGAAATTTAAATATCCCACTTGGTTGCCACATGTCAATGCTCTTTAATGCAATATTAGTGATTGGTGTTCCATGTGTCATAATCCACAATTACTACCTAAACATCTTGCTTTCTTGTACACTAAGCCCTTATTTGGTGGGGATTAAAATCAGATTTTTCGTAGATTTTGATAGAAGTTGATGAAATGTGTGATTGAAAACTTGTGGGACTCATAAAATATGAGGTTAAAATTAATTGTTGACTTTGACTTAGATCAAAATCTAAATTTTAATTCCTACCAAAAATGGGCTAAAACAAATGACCACCGACACAAAAGGTAACTATTTATTTCAAAATTTATTAAAGAATCTATAAATTTCAAAACAAAACCAGCAAACCCACACAAACAGTTAAATCAAATATATATAAGGAAAAAATAGTATTCATTTTATATTATGCAATGTTAAATTTGCATTAATTTTGGGAACCATCATCAAGGAAAATTTCTAGAATAATGCTATGTAGACTGCTGATGGTCTGTAGTCAAGTGTCAATTAAATGGCATTAAGTTATAGGACGAAAAATGCAAGCACGGCTTACGGAGGGGTTTTTCCTTGTTTAAATAACATAACAACTATTAAATGTAAGAATATGGGCCCCATTTAATGCCACCTAGATTGCTGACCATCAGCCATCTAGATAAACAACATTACTTA